GACCAGGAAGGTACTTTTGAACGTCAAAACAAAATATTCAAATATTAAATAATAAGAAAAAATGTCAGTCTGTAGGTCAGTCCTCTAGTGAAGCTATTTGCTCGTTCCAAAGTGTAGATTCCTATGGAGAAGTCAAAGTCAAAGTCAAATTATACATAAAATATTATTTCAGAAGTATAACATTTATTTATTTATTAATAATTACAGATTAAATCACGAAAATATAAAAGTCAAAGTCAAATCATTTATTTCAATTAAACCATAGTTTGGTACTTTTGAAACGTCAAGAAATACAAAATAAATAATAGTCTGTCAGTCAGTCCGTCAGTGAAATTAGGTGAAGCTAGGTGCTCATTCCAAAACGTAGATTCGAATGGAGAAGAACGAGCAAGAAACTCCATTCGTTATTCTTTTTTAAAAAAGTATGTTCTACAATGTCTCTGATACATATTTCAATACTGTACGCATATGTAAGAACAATGCAAAGACACGCTTGACGCATTATACTAATAACTCACTAAAATAAAAAAAAAAAATCTTAAGTCTAACATGGTGCTCACATATGCATACTGACAATCCATAGAAATAGTGCTTCTATACAAGAAAAAGGAAACTCTTTGTTTCAATAAAGAAAGAAATGCTCGATGCCATAAGGAAACTAGATTGTCTACATTAGAATTAAAGTATTAAATTATGTATTACTAGCGACCCGCCCCGGCTTCGCACGGGTGCAATATGCATGTATTATACATACAAACCTTCCTTAAGAATCACTCTATCTATTAAAAAAACCGCATCAAAATCCGTTGCGTAGTTTTAAAGATCTAAGCATACATACGGACATACAGCGAAAGCGACTTTGTTTTATACTATGTATTGATTGATATTACCTACTATTGGAATTTAGCTACTGACTACATTTGAGTATTGTCCAGTGGAGCCGAACCAACATGCTGCCAAGCATTCTTATCTTCAAGATAATCTGTCAGTGTGTAGTAAAGGATTTCTGTACTTTGGACAGTCTGAATTGCGGTATAGCTAACTTATTTTTGCCTCTAGTATTAAAATTGTGTCTATCGCTTCTTTTTTCAAACAATGCCTATTTTTCCTTACATACATTATATTTTCATATATATATTGACAGGGCACCGTTAAAATATTTATCGAGAAGAACGAGCAAGAAACTCTTTTTCAATCATTTTCTGCATGTTCACAATACAATTTTTGGTTACATCCTTTCGTTGAGTTCAATTATGTGAGAACAATGTAATACCAATATTTAGTCAAGGAGACGGAAAAAGAAAATAACCTTATGGACAAAAAATGTACCCTTTGAGTACCGTCATTACAGACACAAATAAAGAACAATAGGTGTGCGGACACCTGTGTCCTCGCCGTGTTTGACAGTTTAATACAGTCTGGAGCTGACCAGTCCTATTTGACAGCGCCCGTTCACGAACATGACACGTACACCAGCACCGCCCAACTCAACCATGTTGTAGGAAATCGAGCGATCCACTGCACGTGCCACTGCCAATGAGACTTTTGAGTGAGCATGACAACTCCAAGCTGACACACATACATTGTACCTACTAGTCTAATTTACTTTAGTTAGTTACAGTGTACATTCAAACAAAATGGCTGTATTATTACATGATTGGAACTCATTGGAACATCAATGTTTTTCCCTATCCTGTGGAGCCGGACCAGCATGCCTCCAAGCATTTTTATCCTCTATGTAATCATTAAGTTTGTAGTATGCTTTTCCACATAACGTTTCTTTAAGTTATCACTCATTTAAGTGTTGTATTTCCTCCGGAATTTTATTACCTATAGCATTTAACACAGGATCCCATAAAGGACTTTTGTACTTTTGTCAATCTAAATAGTAGCTGACTATTTCGATTTATTTTTGACAGAAACTCCGTACAACTACTGTCAATAATCGATCTATATCGACAGATTTTGGATTAAGATAGTTTATTGAAATTGGCAGTTAATCTATCCTTATATCTATATAGTTTGATAGTGCTGTCTGTCAGACACTTTACCAAACAACTGTAGGTTTTTCCTAACATACATAATGTTTTCATAAATAAATTGACATGGAACGGTCATAATATTGATCTCCTTAAACTTTTCTCTGAGAGATTCGCGACGGCGCGCTTTTGTAAGATAAAGATAGACTCAATGTCAGCAGCGTGTTCCCACAACAAAATGCCATACGACATGATGCTATGGAAGTAACTATAGTACACTAGTCTTGCCGTGTCTATGTCGGTTAACTGTCGGATCTTCCAGACAGTATAAGCTGCAGAGCTTAATCGTCCCGCTAAAGATGTAATATGAGGACCCCATTGCAATTTGTCATCTAAAGTAATTCCCAGGAATGTAGTCTCACACATTCGTTACTTCCAACATTTGGCAGAACAAATCTAATACATTTCGTTTTCTTATCGTTTAGCACTAAGTTTATTGTCAACGAATGTTGAACCTTCATCAGAGCATAATTTACGTCGTCATAATTATTTGTTCGTCTATTATTTCAAAAACTAATGATCAGCAAATAATACAACATGTGGTTCATTTTTGAAATAAATAAACAAATCATTTATATATGTTAAAAATAGGAATGGACCTAGTATTAAGCCCTGCGGTACGCCTATAGACATGCTAGCACCCTGTGAGTTTCGCGAAGGACACACCGGGCGTCGGGGATCGCGGGACGATCTCCGGCCACCGTCAGCGCGGGCCTGCGGACGGCGAGCATGGGTGGCTCCCCGTCCGACCAGAAACAGACCCGAGTCAGTCGCGTTCCGCGCGCCTCAAAGATCCATCAGACCACCACAGACGGGGCCCAACAGGGCCGATGCCGATTCGGAGTCGCGGAGAACCTAACGGATTACCGGGGCTCCGGCTCGACGTGCAGGAGAAGGAACGGGTTTTTTTTTATTAATTTTTTTAAGGGGGGACAATCATTGAATTTCTCCCTCCCGCCTGGGTGAGGCGGGAGGGAGTGTCAGACTCTTACTGACTAAAAACCACCCCGTTCCTTCTCTTGCACGTCGAGCCGGAGCCCCGGTAACCCGGTAGATTTAGTATGCTTACAAACCATCTTAAATATTTTTGAGTATCTTGATACACGACTGCGAAAATCCTCACTATTATTAAATTGTTTCATACCATATAACTCAAATAACTTTTCCCTACTTATACGAATACCTGGTGTCAGAATAGAAATTTACATTGAATGTTTTTACGTTGAATTGTGTTTTAATAATGGACAATAATTTGGCATAAATCTCACTTGAGTAGGTATTCACTAGCATGTATTTGGCCGCATAATTCATTTTTTAAGTTGTGGTTTAATGACTTTTTGTTTGTAATTTGCCTAAATAGAATTTTTCTTTTTTGTACAGTTGTGGTAGTGTTAAAACTGTCAGGCCACTGTGATCAAATGGTAATCTGTTTACAATGTCTTTATTTATAATTACAGTTACAAAAAATATTATCTGCATGGCGCCTGAGATAGTTGCCTGAGGCGCTCTCTAGATGTATTCCGCCTCTGTACCTACCTGCATTATGTAGAAGCAATAAAAGTCATTGACCTTGTAATTGCCATTAAAAAATAATAGAAATACCGACATACTTGCAGGCTTTTTTTATTAATAATGGTGGCGGCCTATAATTTTTCATATATTTTATTAACTATCGCAGTTTTTTTATGTGTTTGTGTACAGTGTTCCAGGGCAAAAAAAATTAAAGCTAGATTCAGAAAAGGTAGTTATTTCGTTCTGCCCGAACTAAATATAACAAATGTCAACAGGAGATCGCATTTAAAAATCAATCATGTCATGGAATATTGTGCGAATCGAGATCTGGTGTGCAAATCAAACTCCTTGCATGTCTGTGCCGTTAGAATCAAAGAAAATAAACGGGAATACAAGGACTTTGACAATGATTGTTATTTATTTTTAAGTAATATGTGCGACCATCCGTCTGAAGGTATGTTGTGCATTATGTTGTGTCTGATAATTAGTTTTCGCCAGTAGCATCGCCCACGTCCCACATAATTTAAACTTTTTATTAGCCTGTCAGTAACAGGGTTTGCATGAAAAACGGGATATATAGGAAATATGTCCTCGTTGGCCAAGTGGTCACAAATGCGACTGCCGTACAGGGGGTTTCGAATTCGATCCCCGGGTCGGGTAAAGTATTACTAGGTTTAAAAAAAACTCAGTAATAGCATGGAGTCTGGAATTGTGCCCGATATATGGCAGTAGGCTCACCTCCCGTTATATGGGACACATAACATAAATAATGAAAAGTGGGTGTTACATTGTACGGTGGCATTAAGTGCCGCAATGTACACTTCTGCGTACCGTAACCCATCACAAATAAAATGTTATGTGTGGAGGAAATAAATATTTTTAAGTTAAAGTATAAGGGGAAAAGAGCAGACGGATCACCTGATGGTAAGCAATTAGCGCCGCCCATAGGCAGCCCCAACACAGAGGAGTTACAGTTTTTGGATAGTGGAAGCACGCTGCGCACGATGCTTTGGACTAGTGTGACAGAGTGTGATAACTCCGGTCGAACCGGCCCTATCGTGTGGATGTATGTCTCTCCACGTGACATTATAATGTTATGCAAAGTAATTGTTTGTGGACAAGCTATGGACAATTAATAACCAAGGTCATTGGATACCGCTAGTGCACCATTTCAATTCCGTACTCTTGAGTCGCATCACTGGCGCCTATGAGGTGCTGGCTTAGAGCGCTCTTTAGGTTTAATGCGCCCCTGATTACGGCGGATATGATGATGATTAATAATGTTTGTAGAGTACTATATAACAAGCACTGGGAATTGCGCGCAGTATTTGGCTTCACGTCGCAATGATGTTGAAGGGACCACCTCACCAACGACAAAATTAAATGTAACCTTACCAGCGACAAAATTAAATGTAACCTTACCATCGACAAAATTAAATATGACCTTACCAGCGACAAAATTAAATATGACCTTACCAGCGACAAAATTAAATATGACCTTACCAACGAAAAAAATTAAAAAGGGCTCTAAGAAACGTGGGAGCAACAATACAGGTGAGTTCGCAGCTTTAATATTATACTTTAAATGAAATAGGTACGTACAACATACACAAAATACAAATTACTTTAATTTTTTTCGAGTAGTAAAAGCCTTCGACAGAAAAGAAGATTTGTCCTTACTCAAAATATTAAATCTACTACTGTCTAAAATTCTAACTTTCCGACTTTACTTTTGTCCGAATAAAAATGATTAATTTTTATCTTAGACTATTAATTAACCAAAGCAACAATTATCAGGCGTTCTCTGCTGTAAAAAGTACATGATTTACAATCATACCAGTTTTATAGGGTGACTTGTACCTCGACATATTCCTCTCGCGGGACGTGATAATATAACTAATTACCTATTATTTAGCCCTGAGGTCTCTGGTCCAAAAATGGCTAGTTTCTGAGATATTCAAAATTTTCGGTTTTGGTGAAAAAATCTCGATCGAACTACAAAAACATTAATAAGAAACTACTAGTCATTGAGTCGACGCTGGAAAATAATTGCGATTGTTTTATTACGTGTTCGCAATAGTCGACAGCTCCGACCCAACAGTTGCATTTCTGGCAGGGCAGTGTATATGATGTTCTGCGCCGCATACTTGTCTTGGATGTGCTGTTTCTTTCAGCCGCCCCGCTGAAGATGGTTTCGATGTAGCTCAGAAAATGCGGGCTTTTGTTTTTATCAGCCAGAATGGTACTCAGATTTAAGAAATCCAGATTTGTATCTATTGTATACTCTAAGTTGGTTCTGGCGGCCAGAAAACGAGGACACTCTAGAATAATGTGCCATACAGACTCACTGATAGTTGAATCGCATTCGCAACCTGCACTTTCTTTTAGTTTAACTCGATGCAGGTACTCAGCGATCCCTCCATGTCCAGTCAGCTCTTGAACTTGGGCAGGCTATCCCTACACTAGTCTGCCGTGATGTTATTTTTCTTTTTGGCAGCGGATTTAGCTAATTCGTCTGCCCTCTTATTTCCGGTCGTTCCAACATGGGCCCTCAACCAGTAAAATCGAATCTCTCTTCCCTGTTCCGTTACGGTTTCCAAACACTGCATTATCTCCTTGGCTAAACAGTGGGTAATCCTGGGATTCTTCAAGTCATCGAGGGAGGACCTACAGTCACTCAAATGTTTACTGTAGTCTTTCTGCTGTCTAGAACCATTTTAGCCGCTCTGTTTAAAGCATATAGTTCAGATTGAAAAACCGTGCAGGAAGGATCTAGACTGAAAGTGGAAAACATCGACTCACCCACGAAGTCAAGGCAGAACCAACGCCTGCTTTAATTCTGTTGCCATCTATATATTATCTTTGCGGGCCAGCAATTTTTTGAACCAGAGGCGATCCAGAGTCATCGTTCTCCAGGAGCTCATAGTTAATAGACATTAATTTTGAGGGATGTGGCTGGTCCAGGTAATGTACCCGCCTTACGAGCTCCTTTTGAAATGGTAAGTACAAGTCGATATAAACTGACACATTCCAGGACTCTCACATCGAGTGGGAGAGTACCGAACAAGATTGTTGCTGATGTGAGCGACACTGTACGATAAGCTCTACAGATTTTTTGTGTGAATCCCCTTTGGAGAGCATTTAACTGTTTTTTGATCAACTGCAGCTCCGTCACTGCGTCCTCACGTCTGCGGCGTAAAGTACAATTGGCTCAATGAACGCGACGAATGTTTATTTAATATGCTTCATGCACAAAATGTATTATTAATTGTAAAAATTGCCTGTACGAAAAATTATGAATGTAAGAAGTCAGTGCGATGAGTGGGACATTGGAGAACACGGTTGTGAGAAGAACGAAGATTTTTATTGTGGTTTGCGCATAAGTATTGAAAGTAAGGGGATAGATAACTGGGTGAAGGTGAAGAAAGAAAGGAGAATAGAGTGGTTAGCGCCCTTTGTTCCCTGCGCTGGCGGCAGCCACTTTAGTTGCAACCGATGTGCAGAAACATGATCGTATTTACGCAGGTTGAAAACGAATCGAATGCAGTTATTCAGAAGTCGGTCGAGCTTATGGAGGAGATCTGCATTCAGGTCGTAGTAGCAGACATCAGCATAATCGATGATATGGAAAACCAAGACGTCGCATCGCCATTCTAATACCAGGCGTCATCCACGGAGCCGGTGGTTGCTTAATCCTAACTTCCTTGATGGGAGCATGAAGATCATACACGTTAGTTATCACCATGTTAAAGTACGCAATTTTATCATCCACTGAAGATTCTTCCATCAGCGGCTCCCAGTTGATCAAGGAGGCGTCATTCTGGAGTTTAGATTTGTCCATCCGCGCGAAGCAACGCCGGTACAATACCTTGGGTCTCACCTTAGGCGGTTTTAGGATATAGGACAAGAAAATCATGTCATGGTGAGAGAAACCCGGAGCGTCGTGTTGTCCATGACAAGAAACGAGAGAGGGATTGGAAATGAGGATAAGATCGAGCCAGGAGTCTTCGCCAACTGTAGTGTGGTGAGTGGGGTTAAGCGGTAACAGCTGTAAGCTCGCTGACTCGATTATATGCAGGAGTTTGCGGGAACGAGGAGAGGCGTGGGACATAAGGTTGGTGTTAAAATCGCCCATGACTATGTAATTAGTGTACTCGGAATCCAATGATTGAAAAACTGATTCGAAGTCAGTGAAATAATCATTAGTGGGAGGACAGTAGAGAACACCTAACAAAATTTCTCCCAAAAAAGACGATTAATGAAAGTGCATCACTGACAACAAAACGCAATAGAAAGAAAAAAAACACATAAATCGAAACTTTGCCTTCCATTTTACCAAAGCTAACAAAACGCACGACACAAAATTAATAAAACCAAGACGCAACATTACTTTAATGAAACGTCATAATTATGTCAAGTGTCAAACAGGGTTATGTTATTGTTCTTTATTGTATTGTTCTCGTTATTTCCCCGTTAAGACCCCACGTCACCTTGGCTGCGCGTGATAGCTGTTTGTAAATTTCTTGCATTTGTCTGCAGCTTTCTTGCATTTGGCAGATATATGTGACCTGAAGGTGAGTTTTCTGTCTATAGTGAGGCCTAAGAGCTTTACCTCTTCTACGATGTTTAATCTGGTGCCTGCCATAAACAGGTATGGTGGCTCAAAAACATGCCTTCATGTCAGCAGCATAGCGTTCGTTTTACTTGCGAGCTTGTTACTGACCCCCCAGGCTGCTACTAGTTCCAAGGCACCATTTACTTACCGATTGCTCCAATGCACTTAATTTATAGCTCGAGAACAAGAGAACCACGTCGTCTGCAAAAGCCTGGCAGTAAATTCCCTCACCTGTGAGTCTGTGTAGCAACGGATCGAGGACAAGGTTCCAAAAAGTAAGTCCACCTACGAACCCTTGAACGCAGCCCTTATTAGCCTTCTTTTCGCTGCTAACCCCGGAAAAAATTACTTTGACTTTGCGTACGTTGAGGTAGGAGTTCACTATAGGCCGGGTCTCCACCGTGGGACCTCGACGCGGAGGTCCTCGCGGTCGTCTAGGCGACGAAGGCGGAAACCAGAGCCCGCGGTCAGACTGTCTCGTTCGAAGTGGTCGGGCGGTGGCGGCGTGAGGCGCGACGGGCCCTCCTCGTGCGGTGGGAGTGGCGCCTCCAGGCGCCCACGGCGGGCGTCAGGCCCGTGGAGGCGGTCCGCCCGCATCTTCGGAAATGGGTGGACCGTAAACGGGGAGTGCTCACCTTCCGGCTGGTGCAGTGCTGACCGGACATGGGTGTTTCGGCCAATACCTGTGCCGTATTGCCGGGAGGGAGCCGACGGCGGTCTGCCACGAGTGTGGCTGCGTCGAAGATACGGCGCAGCACACTCTGGCAGAGTGCCCCCGGTGGGCATCGGAGAGGGCGAGCCTGACGGCTGTTATCGGTGCCGACCTCTCGCTGCCTGCCGTAGTCAGTGCTATGTTCGGCGGCCAGAGGTCGTGGGAGGCAATGGTCTCCTTCTGTGACGCAGTCATGTCGCAGAAGGAAGCGTCGGAGCGCGAGAGGGAGGACGATCCCCTCTCGCATCCGACGCGAAGACGGCGAACGGGACGGAGGAGGCGCGGGTATGCCCGCCTCCTTCCTCCTCTCTAGTAGCTAGTGGGGCAGGGGGCGGCCGGTCGGAGCAACCGGTCGCCCACGTCGCAGTGCCCCGAGAGGGGGCAGCATCCGCGGTGTGCGCGGGTGCCGCCCGGAGAAGGCGTCTCGTCAAGCCAGGCTGGCGCAGGGCGGGTCGCGAACGATACGAACGCGATACGCGTGCGAAAGTACAGTTCTTGTGGCCCGCCCTCATGCGTGAGTGGCACACCCCGGGGTTTTTAGTGGGTTCGAGCCCCACATAACCCGGCCTCGGCCCCGCGAGGCCGGGTATTTACGGCATTTTGCCCGGGCGAAAAAAAAAAAAGGATTTCACCATAGCGTACAGGTTTCTCGGACACTTTCTGGCTATGAGCTGATGTTTCAGGGCCGGTCACCGAGCGTTGTCAAAGGCACCTTCTATGTCAAGCGACACCAGGACGACAATCCTTTCTCGTCTATTTCAGTTTTTATGCGGTCAACCAGATCATAGAGTGCGTCTTCCGGTCCGCGTTGAGGTAGAATCCATATTAGCTTTGTGAATCATTAATTGCTCGACTATTTTCCCAAAAACAGACAGAAGTCCAATTGGTCTGCAGGAATTTGGAAGGGTATAATCTTCTTTACCTGGTTTCCTGAGAATTATAACATGCGCAGATTTCTATTGCTTTGGGAAGTATGCCCACACCAAGCACGAGTTTGCTATAGCAAGAAACACCTCCTGCCCACAATGGATTGCCTCTACGCATATTTCAACTGTCAGACCGTCGGCTCCAGGGACCTTTTTAGAGTTGGTCGCATTTAAAACCAAATCCAATCAGCCTGAGTGTATTGATCATTACAAATACTATCCTCTATCTACTGGGAAACCTACTTACTGGCCGACTGATCCAAACAAATTATCAGACCTGTTGGACTTCTTTGTAATCCAGAGCCTAAGTCATGTTTTCACTGACATTGAACCCAGCCTAGATGGAACGTCAGACAGACCACATTCCAATTATCATAAAGGTGCATTCTAATTAAAAAATCACTAGCCCACAGAATCGAAGAAATAAGAGGCATATCGGAGAGAATAGCAATTTTAAACATCGTACTACCATTAAACAAAATCGATAAATTGACTATCATACAAGCTTACTCACCAACTGAATCAAACAAAACGGAGGAAAGTAAAGATATTGAAAAATTTTACGAAAGTTTACAGGCGACTATTCAAACCGCACATAAAAACATTATCGTAATGGGTGACTTTAATGGACAAGTAGGAAGGCGTAACAGTTATGGGGAAGAACATACGGTAGGGCAATACAGTTCTGGTACAAGAAGTAAAAACGGAGACAGATTGGTCAGTTTTGCTTTAGAAAACAAACTAAGTATTCTCAATAGCTTCTATAAGAAAAAACAAAAAAAGAAATGTACATGGATCTCGCCTAACGGACTATATAAAAATGAAATCGACTTTATCATGACTAACAAGCCAAGGAACTTTCAAGATGTATCGGTTATTCACAATTTAAACTTCTATTCAGACCACAAAATGGTACGCGCATGGCTAACAGGTGCGCCTATAAAGAAAAACAGGAAATTTCAAGACAGGAAAGTAGCCATAGCGTGTACTGGAGACAGTGACCGACTCATAACTAACCTACAAGCTACAATGGGGAAAAGAGAAGACACACAACCTCAGATAAGGTATGATACATTTATTAACTTGTTAGCAACAGAAACAAAGAAAATTAACTCGGAGAAGACTAAGATGATTTCTGATGAGACATATCGATTACTACAGGAAAGGAAAGAACTAATACAAAGAAAGGAAAACAAGGATAACCGCTCTAAGATAGCTGCAGTTAGTAAAAAGATTAATGAACAAATTAGGAAAGATAAGAAAATAAAAAGACAAGCAACGTTGAAAGAGCACTTTGAGAAAACTGGTGGAATTAAAAAGGCCTTAAAGGAACTAAATATTAAAAAGGATTGGATGCTACAAACAAAAACATTCGACGGAAAATATACAAACAAAAGACAAGAAATATTAAAAGTAGCTACAGATTATTACCGAAACCTATACCAAAGAAAAAAACCTAAATTGAAGACTAGCCATAAAATCGAAACATAAGATGAGCCAGTACCAGAAATACTACTACAAGAAACAATAAGAGCAATTAATTCACAAAAAAGGGGTAAGACTGCTGGAACCGACCAGATAACTAATGAACTATTAATAACGACCGCACCGGTGATCGCTCCCATATTAACGAGCTTATTTAATGATATTATGGAGACTGAAAATATCCCGGCCGACTGGTCTACTTCCACTATAATATTACTGCATTAAAAAGGAGATAAAGGCGAAATAGGTAATTATCGACCAATCAGTCTAATGTCCATCATTTAGAGGTATAAAGTTTTTTCAAAAAATATTTTATCTCGAATATCACCAACACTCGACTTCAATCAACCCAAAGAGCAGGCTGGCTTCCGAAGCAAATATTCAACCGTGGATCACATACATGTACTAAGGCAAGTCCTTCAAAAATATAAAGAATACAAGAAAGTCTACTATCTGGGATTTGTCGATTATAATAAGGCTTTTGACTCATTGGAACACGATTCAATCTGGGAAGCGTTGCATACGCAGGGAATACCCAGAAAATATATACAAATACTTAAAAATATCTATTCCAACAGCAAGGCACGAGTTAGGCTAGAGGCAACAGGACCCTGTCTCACCCAAACTATTTTCGGCGACCCTCGAGATGGTATTTAGAAAGTTGGAGTGGGAGGAAAATGGATTCAACATAAACGGTGAACCTTTAAACCACCTCCGTTTTGCAGATGACTTGATCCTATTATCTGAGTGCCCAAAAAGGCTAGAGCAAATGCTACAACAGCTATCAGATGAAAGTGCGAAGGCAGGACTTTCAATGAACACAAATAAAACTAAAATTATGACTAACGGCTCTAAGACATAATATCAGAGTTAACACGGAGGAGATAAAGTACGTGGAAGAATATATATACCTTGGACAGTTGAATGCAAAAGGAAATCGATAGAAGAATAGCCAATACTTGGAAAAGATATTGGTCTCTAAGCGAGGTTATGCAAAATCGAGACATGCCAATGAAAGAGAAAAGAAAACTGTACAACACCTGTATTCTGCCATGTTTGACATACGGGTGCCAAACATGGGCACTAACGGAAAATTTAAAAAGAAAAATAAATGTATGCCAGAACGGAATAGAGAGAAGTGTAATTGAAGTAAAAAGACAAGATAAGGTAAGACTAGAAAAAATTAAGGAAATAACTAAATTTAAAGATGCAGGGAAAGTATGTAAAACACTAAAATGGCAATGGGCAGGGCATATGATAAGAGAGAGGAATATGAAATGGACAAAGACAATATCAGAATGGTACCCCAGAGATGGGAAAAGGAGCAAAGGGCGACAACCAAAACGTTGGGAAGATGACCTAAGGAAAACTGCTGGACCAGAGTGGATGAGAATTGCGAAGGATAGGGAAAACTGGAAATCCTTGGAGGAGGCCTATGTCGAAGGACAAGCTGGGGATAAAACTACTGATGTATAGTATAGTGATATAGACTAAATTGTAAATTTGTAACCTCAGTAATAAAGGCTTATTTTATTTCATTTATTTATAAGGTAAGTTTTCACCAAATTTCGTAGAAAAAAAAATAATTAAAAAGATATAAATAAAAAACCAAAAACTTGGTTTTTTGAAATTTTCACCTAAATTTTGAGGTTAAGTGAAAAATCTGCAAATACAAAAATTGTAGATCTTTTTATTGCCTACAACTTTGCCATTTAACTTTTTTCCATAGGACTTGTAGTTTTGCCGGAAATCAAGATAAACCATTTTTTACCCTTAAAAACTCAACCCCTCCCACTTCCCGAACTCGGATCGACCGTAATTATTTTTCCTCTCATTTTGATCATATTCCCCTGCTTTTCTAGTGGGTTTCATCCTACTGTAATTTTTTTTCATTTTTACCATTTTTGTACTGCTTTAACCCTGGTCTATAAGTACTGACAACAAATTAAAAATAAAATTACTTAAATCAAACAAGTGGTTTTTTAGTTATTGATGTTTTTGTAGTTCGATCGGGATTTTTTCACCAAGACTGAAAATGAACTAAAAAAACTGCGAGTTACTCACGTGAATATAGCTGCGCGACGTCGCCGCGACCGCGCACTCTGCTCATGAGGAATAACTATCTATAAGTATATGAGTTATATACTGAGACGGAGGAGTTATATACTGAGAAAAGCTCTGGCTTTTCTCAGTATATTCACGTGAGTAACCCGCAGTTTTTAGTTAATTTAGTATGTTTCACGATAGTTATTATAAAAACCGAAAATGTTGAATATGTCAGAAACTAGCCACTTTCGGACTGCAGAGACCTCAGGGCTATTTTTGTAGGCAATTTGTTGTATTATCACTTCCCGAGAGGAATACGTCGAGTATAGTGACTTGTAGTCACCCTGTTTAAAAGTAGTTGACGCGCGATCAGTGACATTCCCCAAATGGCAATGACGCGGTACGAATTTAAGTGATAAGTGCAGTGCATTTGTCAAAGGGCAAAGATGGCAATATTTATATTCTATTTCGAGTCTAATAAACGAACCTTTAAACGAAGTGTGGGAGAGCCATGCTTCGGCACGAATGGGCCGGCTCGACCGGAGTGATACCACGGCCTCACAGAAAACCGACGTGAAGCAACGCTTGCGTTGTGTTTCGTCGTGTGAGTGGGGTTACCGGAGGCCCAATTACCCTCCCCTTCCCCAATCTCCCCAATCCCTGAATTCCCAACGATCCTCAAACTCCTAATCCCCAAAAAGCCGGTAACGCACTTGTAACGCCTCTGGTGTAACAGGTGTCCATGGGCGACGCCGATTGCTTACCATCAGGTAATTCGTCTGCTCGTTTACCGGCTTATGCCATAAAAAAAAACCTGCAAAAATATTTCGAGTTCAGCTCTACTTTGCTTGAAGCAAGGACGTTGAAAAACGATTGAAGCACCAAAATGTCAGTGGGTCATTTATGTGTGCGTGTGTAATGTGTTACCTCGTTCCCAGACTTGAGAACACGACAGATGTCCTTCGTGTCGATGTGTGTGTGTCCTATGTAAGTGTACAGTAGCCAGGTGCCGCAGTCGTTGCTTCAAGAAACTGTGTCCGCCTTCCTTTCCTCGTCCTTAGTTTTAAGATTAATTTTTAGACTCAAATTTAGCCATTGAATGTACAGCTCTTCGCTATGACGAAGAATCACGCGGACCTGATAGCCATATCTGTCAACCTCGATGCCCGGACATATACAGCCCCGTATGTATTGTCTTGAACAATGAAAATGGGAAATACTACAAGGTGTTGTATTTCGTAAACCACTGCGAAGCAGACAGATACTTATGCGACTTTTGGGCAGGTGATATATTTTTAAAATTGTCTATTTTAAGTTACTTATTATAACATCACGTCTTTTATCCCCGAAGGGATAGGCAGAGGTGTACATTATATTATGCCACTGTACAATGTAACACCCACTTTTCATTATTTATGTTATGAGTCCCATGTAATAGGGGGTGAGCCTATTGCCATATACCGGGCGCAAGTCCAGACTCCGTGCTACTACAGAGAATTTATAAAAAACCCAGTAGTACTTTGACACGACCCGGGAATCGAACCCGAGACCCCTTGCCCGGCAGTCGCACTTGCGACCATTCGACCAACGAGGCAGTCTTTTATATTTAGTATTTTAAATTACCTCCGTCAAAAATCGTTTATTTTGATGTTAATCCAATAAATTCTTATTTATTGGATTATGTTTCTTATTTTCGACTTTATTTTTCAACAATTTGATCAGTGACGTTGAAAAAATGGTGGACGTACTGTCACTTAGTTCTACGCCATAAGTTCTATTCAAACTTTTTCATTAAAACCTTAATACCTAATTTACAATTTTGTGGCCATTAAGTTACATCACTACTGTCTATGTACGGGGGAGATCGTAGCTCCCACAGCTTTCCTATCCCACAGACCCACAATCCCTACCACTCATCCTTACTCCCTTTCCTCATCATCCATAGAGATATGCGATGATGTGACAGATGAATGAATGTGTGAAAGAGTATCAATGTGTAAGTCCCAGGATACTCTGGATCCGCCTTAAAATTGGCTTGACCAAATGATTTGTCATCTGTGCTTATGCCCCGGAAATGTCAAAGCCAATTGGAGCGAGGGAAGAATTCTGGAATAACTTGAGAGATGTTCTTAATGAATGTAAAGAGAATGAAAGAATAATTATGCTTGGAGATTTTCATGGATGGGTGGGACTGGCTCGCGATGGGTACGATAGAGTATTAGGACGATTTAGAGATAAAAGAGTGAACGAGAATGGGGTATGTCTTCTGGATATATGTGTAGAAACGGAACTTGTTGCGGCCAACACATTATTTGGTCACAAGAAGATATACGTGTAAACATGGCAGAGGCATATAGAAAGAAGTATGATTGATTTTGTGATTGTTGATGAACGCCTGAGGACAAAAGTGAAGGATACAAGGGTTTACCGTGGCACGAATGACGGAAGCCACCACTTCCTATTAATTAGTAGAATAGCTGGATTGGCAATGAAGTGGAGACATCGGCCAAGAGTAAGGTTGCCTGGAACCGAGAGAGTGAAAATTGAACGGTTGAGAAAAGAAGAAGCTAGGGACCAGTACAGGAAAATATTAAATGAAAGGTTTAGGGAGCTAATGAAAGGCGAGGAATGGAGAATAGAAGAATTTTGGAAGGAATTTAAGGATGGAGTGGTCGCAGTAGCTTCTCAAGTATGCAGGGTAAGCAAGAAAAATAACACTGGAAGCAAGAGGAATGAATGATGGGATGATGAAGTAAAAGAGGTGATAGAGCAAAAGAAGAAAGCATGGCTCGACTTATTAGCCTCAAAGGCAGATAGAAGAGTGCTAGAAAGTATGAAATCAAAGTATGTTAGTCTCAAAAAAAGAGCAAAAGAGGTATTTAACAAGAAAAAAAATGAATGAAAGGAATTTTTTGCGGAACTTTCGAGCCAACGCTAAACTATTCTGGCATTACATTACATACATTATAGGAAAATATGTGATTATAACTGGTCTCAAATGTTGGGTATGGATTGTCCGTTAGAGCTATACGATAGGATATACAGGGTGTCCAAGAACCTGGCGTCCAACTGGATTCCCACGATGCCCCAAGTTCTAACAGTACTCAGAAAAATATTTTAAAAAATCCACCCCATGTACTTACAGAATTATACTGATTTCAAAAAAAAAAGGGGAAATGAGCACCCTGTGACATACTTTTGAATGCTGTGACTGCTAATGCTGATAATTTCGATATTTCTTGGAGGTTTTGTAATCTAGGGTATTGCTGTGTCTAAATAGAATGTAAAAATAAAGTACTTATTGTACCATTTTAAAATAAAATATTATTTTAACTAAAGGTGATATGGAAAACTATTGAATTTCGCAACTTTGACCGACTGTAGTGTAAAAAAAATGTACCAAAATAGTATGGCAAGTGACGTCAAATTTTGACGCGTTTATTCCTCTTTTTAAAAAGGTATAATACTTACACATTAATTTGAAAAAAAAAA